GCACTCGGGCTGGGCAAGCTCTTCAGAACATTATGTCCCACTCAGACAGTTTTAAGAGAACAGTCTTGGGGAAGCGGCGATGCTCTATGACTGCAGTTCAGTTCAGTATGATCAAGTTCAGTTTTCAGCCATTTCTGGACTCAGGAGGAGAAGCAAACTGAAATCAACAGGAGCATTTCCACAGATTTCAGTGGGTATTTAATTAGTCTGTCAATCTCTAAGCTTCATTTTCCCATCACCTCACCCTGGGTAAACACTCTGTTCATCTACCTAGTGCACACATTGACTGGGAAAGGACTGCTTTGTCATTCATTGCTCATTCAGCAATTAGCATGAGGAGTATCAAAATTCTGCTTAGGATTTTCATGCATGTGCCTATATATAACAAGTGAAGGAGGTTGTTTTCCATGTGACCAAAGAAATCTACTGTACTGTGGATTTGTCAGATCTAGATTTGTCAGATCTAGATTTGTCTGCAAAAAGCCCTTTGAAATCAATAGAATAGTCTTTTCCACAAACCTGCTTTTAAGATTTCTAGGATAACATGAAATTGTGGCCTCTTGGAGCTGCTTAAAATCTTAACAAAATAACAAATACAAGACTCAGACTAAAATGTCTTTTTTTTTAAATCATTATCACCATAGAAGGAACTAAAACTTCTCAAGAGCACATTATTTCTGACATAAAAAATAGAAGGATTCTGAAAAGGTGTCCTGACCCCACAAGCTTATCCAGAGAAGATGCTGCTGCATTTTCATATTTAGTGATCACTTGTTTATTCTTAACTCAGCTCTCATGCCATTGGTATTTATTTGTGCTTTTCTACACAGTCCATTGAGCCTGAAGAGTTTAGGTGAAATTAGGTTCACAAGCTAAACTGTTTCCATTGCCTAAATTTTTAAACACTTATAAAGGAGTTTTAAGGGAATTATTAATTTTTGAAATATATCTATATATATATATATACACACACACACTGATATTTCCCTAAAGAGAATCTGCTATCTTTCCAGGCATGGGGCTAAACAGACCCCAAGGAAGACAGAGCATGGAACCTTCTGTAAGCGGTTTCCACAGCATCTTTATCTGCTTGGTTTATTTCTTGTATGCAAACCTGTGCATGAACTTTTTTTTTTTTGTTATTTTTAAACACAATTTGTCCACATTTCTTTTTCAGTTGACATATTTTCATTTCCATTTGTTCATTTCTGGAACTGTTGTATTTTCAGTTGATTTCATAGGTGGACTTGACACATACTCCTACCGACAGCCCCCCCAGGAACATGTTGAGTTAAAGCCTGTAAAGCCTGTAGGTAAGGTTCTGGTCCCACGGACCACATTAATCCTTCTAACTGAACTGAACTGAAAGCTAACCTTCTCCTAAAATAATTTGGGCATCAGATTACTGATAATTTAATTATATTTTAATTAGCTCTTAATTAAAAATTAATCCACCTAACACATTTGAGTAAGGACACTTTGTCATTGATGGCATATCCGCTAAGCAAGGATTAGGAGCTATCACCACGTCTGCCACGTCGTGCCTCATCTTAACACAAGGAGAGGCTCTTACTGAAGGATGGAATTGCTTCCTTGCTGAATTTTTCGCAAGAAAAGAGCTGGTTTAGTGATTCTGTGGCTGCAGAAACCTTAATGAGATTAACTCATTTATGGAAAAGCAGTAGTTTTTACATTTGTCACCTACTTAAAGAAAAAGTTTTGCTGAAAAACCACTTGTTAGCTTAAAATCTGTCTGTAGAATTTCACTGGAAGTTAATTATCTTTTTGTCATCACTTATTTGCTTGAACTATAAAAATCATTTTCATAGATTCTTCCTGCTTTGCTACCTTATGAATAAGGTTGAATGCATATCTATTCTTTTTATCTGGAAAATATTAGGATATGGGGTAACATTACTAGTACATGTATTTTGGCAGAAGCTCATATAACTTCAAGTAGATGGTGTTCCAAAGTATTATTGGTAAACCAGAAGTTGTTAATTTGGAAATTCTTTATGGTTGGAACTTGTGATGTTGGTCTCTGTCTTTAAATTTACCTTTGGGCCTTTCATGCCTCTTAAATGCAGCATGAAACGCACACAGAGCTAATTGACTGAAACTGATTTAATGACTCTATTTTATTTAACAGTTAGAATTAGAATGGGTTGAAGGTTTTTCCTGGTGTACGCATGTGTGCACATGCTAGGAGTTTTAATTTAAAATGGACGATTGCTAAAAATTGTTCGGGGTTGGAACTTGACACCTGAACTTTGTGACTTTATTAATTTTTGCAGGTTTTTATAATATATTTTATTCATGATGCAGCTTTCAATTTGTAGAAATACACAGAGGCAAAAATTTACTAAAAATTTATCTAAATATTTTAGAATATGAAGGCCCAAAATTATGGTGTATACTAGAACAGGAGCAAATAACACATCAAGACAACTAAACAAAGTTATGAACCTTCTGACTTTTGACTAAGTACATGCTCTACATTGAAGTCTACATTTCTTTAGTAATATTTCATTAAATGTCTATTTTGCTGCATTTTCTGTGAGAAAGATGACTGCAAAATGGGGGTTTGAACCTTCTGAATAAGGTGCTAGACTGAAAAGTTAAATTGATATTCAGGAGCAAGAAGGCCACACCTGCAATATTTACACCTCTCCATAAAAGATTTTTATCTCTAAACCTGCATTCAGACTAGCTTTAAGCATCTAGTGCATAAATGTTTAGTACTTTCTTAGCAAACCTACTATAATTAAAGAAGAGAATAAAAGAAATATCCATTAAATACTTACAAATACCTTCCTGCAACATATATGCATTTGTTTTGCAGTAGAAGAGTCACAGCATCTGATAATTTGTTCTTGATAGGAGATTTTCAATAAATAGCTCAGGGGATTTGGAGGTTCTTGGTGATCTTACAATACTGGAGAATAACAGTTATCTTTCCATTTCCTATGAATGTGTATCTTTGTACTGCTGGGAGGGCCTCTCTGGCCTCTTTAATGCTTCAAGGAGTATAAAACTGGGACAGAAATTATATTGGGTTTCCTTTCTAATTGATGTTTTCATTGTATGTACTGAAAGATATAGAGGACCTTTATCTAAGCTGGGAGGGAAATTATGTCAGTGATCAAAGTCTGAGTTAAAAACCAAATTGCTGGAAATAATGTGATCAGGGGATTGTGCCAGAACTTTGTAGATACTTATCTCTCTGCAGCACATTAGCCTTCTTGACTTTTTTTGGTAAGTTAATTGCTATATGTATCAATTATATACACTGAAAATTCTTACTATCTCTAAAAAGTGACTTCTGGTGTCTAGGCTATGCAAAACTCCATTTCAGAGAGTTAGAATTCTCTTAGAAGTGAACATGAATAAGGCTTGCAAAAATACACGAAAAGCCTTTATATATGTTACTTTATAGATGAAAGCTTGTCTGTATTTCCCTTTTTCTCATCCCTTTTATTTCCCTTATTTCATTCAAAAATTAACTAAACACAGCCCACTGAAAATACAGAGCTCTGTGGCCTCATCCAAGCTATGCAGAAGACAGTCTGCTTTTATCAAGTGCTCACATTCAGTATAATGCCTGCTTGGTGCTACCGTAATTATTAATGATTAGCAAGACTAAGATTAGTTTTCCTTCTCACCTCTGAGAATAAGTTAAATTTGAGCTTGTTCTCATGGGGAACAATTTTTAATCCAAATACAAATGATCATGGCTTGCCCGTTTGCTCTTTGTTCTGCCTGTAACTCCATTAGGCTCTGGGACAAGGAGAAGCAGGATCTTTGCCCTCAGCCATGCAGTTTCAGTTAAGATGTGTGTAAGGCAGGAGACAACAGGTGGAGTAGAAAAAATATCATGGTGTTGTGTCATTTGGGACTAAGCATATGGACTGTAAAGAAGACTGCTGTGCCTCTTTGAATCACAGTATCAACAGCCAGGTCGCTCAGTAATATTTAGAAATGCTTCGTGTACTGACATGTAGAAAAGACAGGAGCATGGTGGCTAGCAGGAAAAAATAAGAAGCTACATTTTGGCTTGCATTAGAGATTATTATTATTAATAATTATTATATTATAATAGAGGTTAATAAGACTATATCATAAACATGCTGCAATAAGAACAATGTATTAATATAGTAATGAAACTTTTAATTATAATTGTAATAGTAGTAATAATAATAAAATAAAACTGCTACAGCTTTGAGCAACTCTATCTGGACAGACACTGAATCCCTAATTCCAGTTAGAGATATCCCTAGCCTTTTTAAGAACTATACTAATTTGTGCTTGTGAAATTGACCTACTGTATGATAAACTATGCCAGTGGAGAGGTCAGCACTCCATGATACATGTGTGTGATCCTGTCGTGTTTGTATCTTCTCCTGAGAGTTTATCCACCTTCAAATTGCTCCAAAAGACCAACACAGATTTTCCAAGATTACACAAGTGAAAATGGCTACAGGGAGTCATGTGAGAATACATAGATTCAGCAGATATGTCACTGTGGTGAGGACTATAAATAGTGTGAGTCCAGCTCAAATGCTCATGTTTGTGATCAGATCACATCAGAATTTTATAACTGGGTGCAAATATGTCTCATGCTGTTGAAATATATTATGCTAAAATGAATAAGTATATATATATAGTATTATATGATATATATTATATATAATATATAATAGATATCAATATAATATCTTCTATTGTATGAGCCTCAGATATGCTTTACCAGCTATGGGACTTATCCCAAATGTTTATTGCTTTTGTGGTATGCATAGTACAAAGCTACTGCTTTGTACCCAGCCATTCATTCTTGACCAATAGGTGAGTCTCACAGCTGATGAAATTATTGACCATGTGAAATTTACCCACTTGTTCACTAGTTGCTAACCTCTCAACTTGTATGACTTTACAGCTTATAAATTAGAAGATAAACAAAATAAATTTTCATTTGTGAGTAATTCTTATATCCTGCTTTTTAGGTCGAAGTAAGTAATGAACATGGACTCAAGACTTCTGCTGCTGTAGCTGAAGAAAAAGATTTAAAAAAAAAAAAAAAGACCAACCTTGCTAATCATCGATCTGGAAGAAACCCACCACATCTGTTCCTCACGGCATGTGGATTGTTCTTCCCACAGGCTCAGTGTCATTATCAACATTGTTATTTCGTAGATCCTTGTAGATGATCTTGAATTTTTAAATAATTTACTTATATGGACACTTGTAAATTGTAAATTTTTTTCTTTTTTATTTTCAGTATTTTTACAATGTTTAGTGTTGAGGCATGAAAAAAAACCAATCTGTGAAAACTAGGAGGAGGGTGCATCTTTCTCAAAAGTTCAGTATTTTTTGACTGAGAGTATCATACTGTGCCTGGTCAAGATTGTGTCAGTAAACAGTAATTTTGACTCCAAAATACACAGCAGGAGTCAATCCCTAACAGTGATCAAGAGATCATTTTGATGCTGTCTTTAGAATTCACAATGTCCACTCCTTGCATTGTTTGAATTGCTGAATGCAGTAGGGATTGATTTATGACTCTTCTTACCCAGATGTTCAAGCACTAATGTACTCACCTGATTATTGCAGTTCATATATGACTTCTCCTTTCCTAATCTCTTTTGCTCCAAGTCCATCTCGAGTAGCTGTCTCTGATTTGAAGAGAAGTAGGATGACTGCTGAATGGATGTCCGACTCTAGGAACCCTTACACCCAGGGCTGTTTAGATGTCTGTGATTTGCACATTTTTAAACTCCTTTCCTCCCTTCTCCCAGGAACAAGCCAAGCATGAATGTACAGTACAAGGCACCAACCGAAGCCTTAGAAGCCTCCGGGGACTAATTTTTCTCTTAATTTAAAAGTAAACAAGCAAAACTGAAAAATGTGTGTAAAAATTTGTAAAGTTATTTGTAAATACTTCTAGACAAAGAACATGTATGTAACTGTGGTATTTTGTTTTCTATTCTGTCACCACTAGCATAAAGTGATACACAAAGCTGTATTCTCTGGAGAGCTGGCAGTCTTTTTAACAGAACACTTTGTTTCTTTCATCTTAATTACAGTATGAAGTGCTGTGTAGATTTGTATGCCCCAGAGAGCCTCATCTCTCTGCAGAGCCTATGTGCCTCAACACTGAGCAGAAACATCATGAGGGTTTTGAGTCTGTGGTTTTGCACTTTCCTCACTTAAACATTTCATTGGTGGGACAGCCAGGAGGGCTGTTCCTTCTGATATGTATTTCTCTACCTCTGCACCAGAGGCTGAACAGATGCCCACAAAGTTCCTCCATAGGTATCCTAAGAAATCTTCAACTCATCTAAACAACATTCAGGTCCTGAATTTTCAGTCTTCTCTTCTATCATGTATTTTCAAGTCTAAGCAGGTGAGAGCTAGAAGAGAGCTTGTCTTGATTCTTTCCCTCCGAAAATCTGTGTAATTTACCAATATGAACATACTGGGGACGCTAATAAATACTATGGAAGTAGTCTAATATTTTCAGGTGGCAAGGGTCTTGTGGTACATCCACCTGCTTTCCAGCTGGTTAACTTAAAGACCTCACTGACTTTGGAGAAAACACAACCTAAACTTTGGTTAACCTTCCCTGAAACTGAGTATGAACTAAGTATTAAGACAAAGTCAACAAGAAATGGCAACTGGAGAAAAACCCTTCTTTAGTGTTTCTGGGGCTGGATATAGCTCAAATAAAAGCCTTCAGCTGAACCCAGTGCTGCCCTCAGAACCAGGTGGGAAGAATAAGAACGAGTGCTACACCTCCATTGATGGCACAGGCTCAACACACAGTTCTGGCAGGGGTTTGGAAGTGTGTGTTTGATTTTCTGCCAAGGCATGTCTGCTGGACCATGCTTTACAGATTTGTCTGAATGTGTCTAAAACCTGTCTTTCTGTAGGTCCTTCAGAACTGTGTACATGTCACAAAAATTCTGCAAAGACAGGAACTGAGTTCTCTTCCACTTGAAATATCTATCACATTTTAGCCAGGGAACACAAGCCAGTATATCCCAAATACACTTAAAATCTCAGAATCAGTGAGTGTGCCATCTGTCTCACTTAACAAACAGAACAATCCTGATTGAGAAGAATTTGTCTTCATTAGGACCAGCCAAAATGCAGACTGAAATGCCAAAGGAAACTGTCATACTTTTCTAAACTGAGACACCCAAAATAGTATCAATCAACCTGAACATGTTGGGGTAAAAAAATCTTGAGAATAATAAATGCATTTGACTGTTAATTGCTGCATCCTGTAATATAGTAGGACATATTGGTAAACATTTTTGTAGGAAGCCTTGAGTAGTTCCTTTATTTTTGTAAAACATGTTTTCAGTAAGGTGTTAGGTGAGTCCCAGATCAGCCAGCTATGTAGGAAATAAATGTTGACTCTCTAAATAAACTTGGATAGTTTTCTTAAGCTTAACTGAACCATGCAATTTCAGGAAATGACTAGGTTTGTACTGCAAAACAGAATTTGCTGACAGTCTTAAAACCTCGGAGATTATCAGTTGCTACAAACTGTTCTGGTGGCATTAATAAGTCATACTATTACACTGTAGGGCAGCTGAAGATCTGTCCTTTAAACTTTTAGACTTTTTTCCTTTTCCCAAGTTTCTGTTTAATTCCAGTTTTTTAGAGAAACAGATTTGCCACAGTACTTTAGCTGACAGTAAAAGTGGATATGAGACTGCAGAAATATGGCATTACATGTTCACTAAGGACGGAGCCAGGAAACTGAACCAGTTTCTTAAAAGAGTGGCTGATGGATCTTGAGGATCTGAAAACAAAAACTGTAGTAAGAAATTAACAGAATTTTTGCCTGGTGCAGTGACAGACATACCATGATTATACATTACAGATTGTGGAATTGTTGGTTGGACTCTTTCATATCCATAGAGATTTTTTACATAAAATTTGAAGTTTTTTGAAATGCAATTTTGATGTGAAGGAACACTCTAAAATGAAAGACTTTACTGCTTGGACTGACTGAAGGGTGTTTTTTTAGTGCTAAGGCATGATATTATAGAATATTGATATTATTATAAGATACAATAGTAACTATTATAGTAATTGTCAATAGAGCTCTCTCAATTAAACCCATGGGAATTGATGCCTGGTTTTATCCAATAACTGCTTTCAGTAGTGCAGGTGATATTGTCCAGAGAAGAGCAACAAAGCTGGTAAAGGGTCTGGAGCACAAGTCTTTGAGGGGCATCTGAGGGAGCTGGGGTTGTTTAGGTTGAAGAAAAGGAGTCTCAGGGGTGATCTTCTGACCCTTTACAACTCCCTGAAAGGAGGCTGTAGCCACATGGGGTTCAGCCTCTTCTTCCAGGCAGCTAGTAAGAGGATGAAAGGATATCGTCTTAAACTGCACCAGGGGAGGTTTAGGCTGGACATTAGGAAAAATTTCTTTACAGAAAGGGGGATAAGGCATTGGAATGGGCTGCCCAGAGAGGTTGTGGAGTCACCATCCCTGGAAATGTTTGAGGAAGGGCTGAATGTGGCAGTCAATGCCCTGCTCTAGTTCATGTGGTGGTGTTTGGTCACAGGTGGGACCCAATGATCTCAGAGGTCTGTTCCAACCTGTTCTGTCATTCTGTGATTAAGACGACATTGTTTACTGTATATTATTAATTGGAATTTGAAGCTGGGGTATCTGGTTGCTGGTTAGCACGAGACAATACTAACTTTTCTTATTTTATGACAACACGTAGTTGGGTCACTAAAAAGCCTGTAGTTCTGCACCAAAAAAATGGCAGATTTTAGCCCAAACAACTTCAAGTGCAGGTTTCTTCATTCACAGCTGCCATGCAGGACTCTTCTCCATGTTTGGATCCTGAATTTCACCTCTTCCTCCAGTTGGCCACAGTTCAGGCATTGCAACAGCATTGTCACCTCCAAGCACCATATTGGCAGATGCAACCTTTTTCTCAGCACTGACTGCAACGTGTTTCCCTGCACCCAGCTGCCTGCCTGTCATTCATGTGGGGAGTGGCAGGTTGAAAAGGCCAAACCAGCAATCTATCAAGGTCCATTAACAAACTTTGACAGTGGAAAACAAAAATTTACATCCCAAACTAATTGGCTTGCCTCCTTCCAGTATCAGCCTCATCTGGTTTAATTATAACTGATTACAACCTGGCAGCTTTTAAACAAAAAAATTTCAGGTTGGAAAATGTCCCTTCCATGTTAAAGCTTCAACATCAGCAGGAGGTTTTTCACAAATCAGTTCATCTCCTGCCTGCTATGTTGGGCGTTTGGACAGAAACCTTCTTAGTGCCCAGCACAGCGATGGGGTTATGTCGTTGCATGCCACAATAGCACTTTTACAGCAGAGTGGCCAGGTTGCATCCTGAGATCATACCAGATGGGTTAGGGTTGCATAAGGTGGAGGGTGCCCTCATCAATACAGCCCTAAAGTGGTCTCTCTCCTAACTCTGCCCAGGGAGCTGACTATCCCTGAAACCATAACTAGGGATCAGCCTGAAAGGTTTGTTAGTTTGCAGAGGCTTCTTGAGCAAACTAATACATGTGTTATAGATAATGGGGAATTCAGGTCTGTGAAATTTTTCCTGTAAAGAAGATATTTTATATCAAGACTACTGCTGCAGTGTTTGCCCCTTAGAGATTTGTCTGCATTGCCTGCTGGCAGAGTGCTCCCAGCATGTCAGCTCTGATCACCCAGCATTACCAGCAGCACCCTGCTTCACTGTAAGGGGACACAAGGCAGTTCAGGACCCTAAATAATTATTTAGCAGCTAAGGACACAGATCTAGCCTGTACTGCTTGCTATTTGACAGCTACATATAAGTTGTGCCATCTTCCCCGGGCTGACAAACATCTTTATTTATCTGCTGATAAATGATGGTTTCTTGACATAATTTCCACTTCCTTCATCGAAGTCACAGTTTGAATGATTCTCTTTGATTTTAAACAAATTAAACATCTGGATTTAATTCCTGCTTCCACATGAGTACCTGCTCATCAGTCACACAGCACAGTCCTGGATGTGACAGCTTTGTGGAATAGCTGCCCTTGCATGGTCTGTTGCCTCTCAGAACCAGCAACAGACTCTGAAGATAGTCTCACTAAGCAGCAGCCATGCATAAATAATCCCAGGAATGCAAGGAACATTCTCCTTGTTTTGCTTATTCCCCTAGGACACAATATCACTTCTTCAAGCTTTCTGTCCCAGTTTCCTATTTATTTCACACCACCCAAATGCAACCATGCTTTCAAAACACTCCTGTAAGTCAGTGCCAGGCAGACTTGCTAAAGCTTGAAGTTTAAGTTGGCTGCCTGTGATTCATGAGTAATCTAATTTCTCATTTTCCACAACACTGTGTACCTGCCCAATTAGTAAAGCATCATACACAAGGAGGGGTTGCATCCCCTAGGACGTGATGTGTTTGGAATGAGAGCTGTGCTACACATGAGCAAAGAAATCAGCTTCCTGTGTTGGACCATGCTGTTCATAAAATGTCACTGGTATGTTCTTATAGTGCTTTATCTGCATAGCCAGAACCAGGGTGACAAGCAGGCTGAGTCCCAAGTGCTGGGGCAAATGCAAGCCAACAACGTGTTTAAACAACCGTCATCTCATATTTATAGTCCACACTGCAATTTCTGGGTTTTCTCTTGGCAAGTAAAGCTGTCTGACTGCAGCCAGATCTTGAGGTGTGTGATCATGAGGAACCTTCTATGCCACTCTTACACACACACACACACACACACACACACACACACACATATATATATATATATATTAATAGTCATGGTTTTGTTTCTAAAGGTTTTATAATTCAAATAAACCTTTTTTTTTTTTTCCTGAAGTTTAGAGGAGGATATGTCTGGGCTGCTGCAGGAAGTTTTCCTCCAAGCATTTGGAGGTTTGGAGAATAACACCAGTGGAGATCATTGCCCACCCATGGAAGCACCCCCAGGACCCATCCTGGTGCCACTGGCTGGCATCTCTGGGGGAGACC